CGTGGTGTGAGTCACCCCAGCTCCCACAACTGGCTGAATTACCTGCTAGTAGGGGCCGGAAGGCGGACCCAGGAGCAAGAGTGGGGATAGAGGCTCAGAGGCCTGATGTAGAGTACCCTCGACTGGTCAATGCTGGGGCCAGGACCAGAATGGTCAAAAGGGCCAGGGGCCCACTGCTAGGGATGCCCAGAGCTGAAGGTCTGGGGTTCCAACTGGCCTTGGAGGTCAGGCCAGGGCTTGTGTGGCCAAAGATCCCAGGGGGACCATGCCCGAGAGGGGAAATAGTTTCAGGGAATGAGGCAGCCCTGAATGAGGGCGGGGTAGGCCACCTGAATGGAGGGATCCTGATTGGGGGATTCTGGGGCCCAGTGTGGGGCCAGTGAGATTAACAGCTGGATGCCATCTGTGAGGCATGGGTTCTGGTGTAGGGGAGGAACGGAGCCACAGATAGTGCCCCCTGCATTGGGGCAAGAATGGGTAGCCTCCCACCTTAATTAACATCTTAATTAGTTAAGAATAAGGTGTGGCGGGAAAGTCAGGAGGGGGGCGTGCCCACGGGCAAGTGGGGCAACTAGCACTGTGGCTAGTTGGGGGGGGTCCCCACTTTGCCGCAGCTTCACCTTTTATTTTTATGTTTTACTTAGTGCTGTTGTCATAGGCCTTCTCAAAAAGCTCAGCAGCATACGATGTACAGCTTCCTCCACATCCAGAACCCCGATGGCCTGGTTTAATGTTCTTGTTCTCTGCTATTTACAGTGCTGTGACATCCAATCCCTCATGGCGTTTATTTCCCCCTATCCTCTGCTTCCTTGATAAGAGCCTCGCTCCCAGGTGGTCTGAACCATTTGCAGTTGCTGGTGTCCATGTCACACATTTCAACCCCAGGAACAGTGCTTTGAGTTTCCCTCTGGTTTTAGGCAAGCATCAGGGGAAAAAAGACCCCTAATGAAATCACTAGACTGGATATTGTTCATTTTGAAATAAGCAATATCCTTTGTGCTTTCCCTCTGTCTCACCCAAAGGGCCTTTGTGCCCTAATGATGTCAAATGAAACACCCTAAACTGTTGATATTGGTCTCCAATCCCTACATGCTGTATCCTGTGTCTACAGTCCCTGGACTATAGAAAATAAGTTTGGAGCCATCGTCTGTATCTGTTGTTCCATGAAACATGGCTTATAAAGTGTAGCAACATGATGACTTTCTAGCTAGTTATCATCTCTTACTGCTTGACAAAGTGGTCTTGAATAAACCGGAGTCATTCATCCCACTGACGAATAGCAACCAAGACCCAGAAACTGGAGATTTCTATTGGGAAGCTGGTCATTTCCCACCATCACTGTGCATGATCATCAACCACATTACCTTTCATTAGTTTGCATTCTCCTCGTTTGCTTTCCATGGCATAGTCAGGCAAGGTAGGGCAGGACTTATCCACTGTCCAAAGCAAAACATAAATTTTGGGATCATTTATATAGGGAAGTAACCAATTACATTGCCTTATTACATTTTTACTAAGCGGCCCCAGACCAATTATAACCATTTTTCTTTTTGGTCTAATTAGGCTCAACTCAGCTTTGTGGTGTTGAAGGCTGTAATGAATGAGTGCATGAGAAACACAGTTTAGATTCTATGTGAGGGATCATTAATATGCTCTGGCTTGCTGCTTTAGAAAAGGCTGTACCTAATTATGCAGGTTAATGCACTTGTACTAAATGGATGAATTGCAGCCATTTCCAGTGTCTTGAGGCCCTTTAGACCGCCAGAACTGTAGATTAATAAGTAGTTAGCGAGTGATCTGTTGAACTGCCCCATCACTCTTCCTTCTCACTTTTTGGTTTGTAGCAATGTGGAGGGCATGAGAAGGGAATTATGCCAATGAAAGCCACCTTTTGTTTGTTGTTTGGGAAGCTGCTAGGAAATGACTAAAATTGGGGAATAATGAGTCACGGTATCGCATAGGTTTATTCAATGTAATGGGCCCTGTAGCAGACCCATAATGCACTGGGTATAGCAGAGGTCTTTCTAGTATGTAACACAATCGACTCTAAGTCTTTCCCATTCCCCTCCCCAGTAAGTTTTTTTTTTTTTTTCAGTGAATGTAGGAGTCCTGATACTTTATACCCTAATGAATGCACTGGAACTGCCCAAGGTCAAATGGAGCTAGGAAATGTTTGATGCTTGAATTGACCATCTTGGAGAATGATCTCTTCTTTATATCCGGGGAACCAGAGGCTAGAGCCACAAAAGGCCTCTATGTCTGAATCCCTTCTCACTGCCCCAATAAGCACAAAAGTCCAACATTTCCATCTCCAAAAGCCCTACTCAGCTATCGCCTAAACCAGAAGGCACCATATCCTCCCAGGGGGCCCAAGTTCCTGCCTATAAAATTATCTACTGGGCTCCTCTACTCTTTTCTGCTTCACTTCTGGGCATGCCTAGTCATGATAAAACCTTCAGCAGCTAATTGCTGGTAGTATCCTGATGCTAAATGTGCCTGTGACTGCCTCACCTGCAGGGCCTGAGCACACCTTCTGGACCAGGCCTGATACAAAACATGGCCTCAGAAGAAGGTGATGTCAATACCTATTCGTTCAATGGGAGCAGGGTACCTAGACTCGTTTTTTCTCCTCTCTGCCTGGAGGTATTTGAGCATCTCACAAAAACAATACACCCACTGCAGCCCTAGTGTATTCTGGAGTGGGATAGTTTCATAGTTTCATAGTTTCTAGGGTTGGAAGGGACCTGAGCAGATCATCTAGTCCGACCCCCTGCCATGGCAGGAAAGAGCACTGGGGTCAAATGACCCCAGTAAGGTGGTCATCCAACCTCCTCTTAAAAACCCCCAGGGTGGGAGCCTGCACCACCTCACTTGGAAGCTGGTTCCAGACTCTAGCCGCCCTGACCGTGAAGTAGCGCCTCCTGATGTCCAACTTAAACCTTCCCTCCGCCAGCTTGTGACCGTTGTTCCTGGTCACTCCTTGCGGCGCTCGGGGGAACAGGGACTCCCCCAGCGCCTGCTGATCCCCCCTAACCAGTTTATAACAGGCCACAAGATCCCCCCTCAGCCTTCTCTTTTGAAGGCTGAACAGGTTCAGGTCCCGCAACCTTTCCTCATAGGACCTACCCTGCTGTCCCTTGATCATACGAGTGGCCCTCCTCTGGACCCTCTCGATGCTGTCCACATCCCTCTTAAAGTGCGGCGCCCAGAACTGGACGCAGTACTCCAGCTGCGGCCTGACCAGTGCCGCATAGAGGGGGAGGATCACCTCCTTGGACCTGCTCGAGATGCATCTGTGGATGCACGACAAGGTGCAGTTGGCCTTCCTAGCCGCCTCCCCACATTGCCGACTCATGTTCATCTTGGAGTCAATAATGACTCCCAGATCCTTTTCCACCTCCGTGCTGACAAGAGGGGAGTTCCCCAGCCTGTATGTATGGTGCCGATTGTTCCTCCCCAGGTGCATCACCTTACACTTGTCTGTGTTAAACCCCATCCTGTTCTCCTCCGCCCATCCTTGTAACCTATCTAGGTCCAACTGTAGCCTGTTGCTCCCCTCTATTGTGCCCACATCCCCCCACATCTTAGTGTCATCAGCAAACTTGAACAGGGTGCTTTGCACCCCCTCATCCAAATCACTGATGAAGATGTTGAACAGGGCGGGCCCAAGGACCGAGCCCTGTGGGACCCCACTTCCCACGTCCTTCCAGGTCGAGAAGGACCCATCCACTACCACCCTCTGGGTGCGACTCTCTAACCAGTTGGCGACCCATTGGACTGTATGGGTGTCTACGCCACAGTCCCCCAGCTTCCTAATGAGAATGGGGTGAGAGACAGTATCAAAAGCCTTCCTGAAGTCTAGGAAAACTATATCCACTGCCACCCCTGCATCCAATGATTTAGTGACCTGGTCGTAAAAGGCCACCAGGTTGGTCTGACAGGACCTGCCGCTGATGAACCCGTGCTGGTTGCCCCTGAGCATGCCGTTCCCTGCTGGCCCCTCCTGGATGCGTGCCAGAATAATTTTCTCGAACAGCTTGCCCAGGATCGAGGTAAGGCTGACTGGCCTGTAGTTCCCTGGGTCCTCTTTCCTCCCCTTTTTGAAGATGGGAACCACGTTGGCCCTCTTCCAGTCCTCCGGCACCTCTCCAGAGCACCACGAGTGTTCATAAAGCCGTGCCAGGGGACTTGCAATGACCCCAGCCAGTTCCTTTAGGACTCTAGGGTGAAGATCATCCGGGCCGGCTGACTTAAAAACGTCCAGCCCCTCCAGAAGCTCCCTAACTAAATCCTCACTCACTCTAGGCCCAGGTGAGCCTCCCCCGGGGCCCAAAGGGGGCCCAGCAGGGAGGTGGCAGTTCTGGTCCTTACTGAGGAAGACAGAGGCAAAGAAGTTATTAAATATGTTGGCTTTGTCGTCTGGCGTGACAACCAGATTCCCCGTCTTGTCCTGCAAGGGCCCCACATTTCCTGGGGCCTTCTTTCTACTCCCTATGTACTTAAAAAAGGACTTCTTGTTGTCCTTAATCCGGGAAGCCAGCCCCTGTTCCATCTCTGCCTTGGCCTTCCTAACCATCCCCCTACATCCCCGAGCAACTGCAGAATAGTCCTCCTTAGTGATGACCCCTCCTTTGTGATGGAGGTCACAAATTCTCTGGTTGAAGAGGCTCTACTTGGCATTGAATGTGGGTTGTGTGGCTACCTATTTTTAGGGGACATGCAAATGTAACCACTGTATCCATATCAAATGATACATATAAAACCTGTTACAATGCAAGGGTGACATCTGCATGCTCCTGTAGCAATCTAAATATAACAGAACTGTTGCAACTTTTACTTGTTTTCATAAACAATAAGAGCGTAAACAGCAGTTTAATGGTATTGCTGGATTAATTTGTCATGGAAATAAGAAGACTGTACCCTTGTAATGTGCAAATCAATGGAAAACATGAATTCAGAATAAATACATTGCATTATAGCACTCTCATGGAAGGACTGTTTTTTTTTTTAAATAGCGTTTCCTGTTGTCAATAAATGGCCTATAATAACGTGGATTCCCTGAAGGGTTAACAAAGAAGGACTGCTAGTACATAATATGGCTCTGAGTAACCGGTCTGGGACCTTAATACCAAGAGTGCTTGCTGTGTAGCAGCTGGTTGACAGTTTCACTATATATCTCTCTTGAGGGGTGCCGTCCATATGACAAAAACCCATCCCTAACCGACTTGTCAAACTTGCTGGTAGTTTCAGCTGTGCAACTGAACTGGAAAGCCAAAGATCCCCCCCAACAGAAATAGCTCTATGACCAAACTGGAAGAGCAACAGGCATTGCATTTTGCCTCTTTGGCCCACACTCAATTCACTTGGGAAAAATATTTGCCTTCCTTTTTATTCAGTTCTTTTATGAGCAGTTCCTGTGCATTAGCTCTGTATGTAACTCACTGAGTTTTACTTGCTAGGTTGGGAAATATATTGTTAGAAGAGCCTATGAATTTTTCACAATCCTTTGATTTAGTGAGTGTTTAGGTTGTGAACCCTCTAGGAACCACAGTGATTTCAATGGGGATTTCTTGTGCTCAACACTTCTCAGGATCCAACTGAGTCGGTGGCAAAGTTGGTCTTGCAGAAACTGGCCCTTAGTGCCCAAGGCTTGAGCCCGCAAGCACTGGCATAGCTCTGTTGGGGTCAATTCGGCAGCTGAGTGAGGATCTGGTTTGCTGTAGGTTTCTAACCTTTCTATTTGGCCAAAGATATTCAATATATAGAGATAATTAAAATGGTCCCTTGGAAAGTATTTTTCTTTAAAATGCTCTCTTTCAAACAATGACACGTCTTGTGGCTAATTATCTACTTCACTTTTTTTGAGATTTTCTGCAGCATCTTATGTGACAATTTAATCAACATTTAATGATTTTCCCCTTTTACTGACCAAAAGCTGTTCTTCCTTTCTTTCTTTCTTGGGGGTAAAAGAAGCATATAAAAGTGGATTTTAATAACATTTTTTTCTATCAAACTTGCAGTGTAAAAGATGTGAAAAAGGTCATAAGACAACAAAATGTCGAGTTTGTTTTGAACTGCTGAAGCTTTGAAATTATTTTTTTCCCCATGAGATTATTATCATGGTCCTTTTTTTCCCCCCACCAGTGAGAGGGTAATATTCAGTCTCAAGTGTCTTGTGCTTTCACTACTGTTTCTCAGAAATAAATGCATGTTGCTTTGTGTATGTAGAGGTACAAATGTATAAATCAGCTAAATATTTAACCAGCCTGCCTAACGTGTCACATGCAATCCTAAAAATGTCTTAATTTGGTCCAGAAGAGTGATTTCTAAATCAGCAGTTCATGGTATGTGAATTTTCTGCCCTAGATAGTGTTGAAACCATGTAAAAAATAAAAATAAAAGAAGCAACCCAAACAAGTTGACTTTCATGGCTTTAAATGAACAAAATTAGCGATCAGGAACATGTTGAGAGAACAAACAATAAAGATGAACTAACAGCTACATATCTTCAAGCACACGAAATGCCAGGCGTTGGCAGCAATGGGACAACATTCTCCAGATACATAGGACAAGTAAAATCCATAAAACAAGATCAAGCACAGTGTCTGTCTTAACTGAAGGAAATCAAGGGAAAACTCATTTACAATTTCTAATAAATGGTACAAAACCTAGCTTTTCTTTCATACAATTACAGTGTTTATTGGTAACAGCCGTTTTAATATAATATATTCAGTAAAGCAGACATTGATGTACGGCCTGAATCTGAAGCACGCTCAGAGTCCGTTCCACTTCACGGTGTGATCTGGTGCTCTGCAAAAGCAAGAATAACTGATAAGTATTCATGGGTTTCTCAGAGATTTCCTGATATCAAGTGCCAGCCAATGAAAGGATGACCAGTCGAGATGGTCCCGAATAAATACACCGTCGGTGGTAAGGCACACATACGCAATCGCATACAAGTGTGCCTGGGTGCATCCAGCCTGGGCATAGAGGAAAGAGCAGAATATATTTTGCAGGGGCAGGAAGAATGGCGATTGGCAGGGGAGATGAAGAAGTGCTGCAAGGAAACACTGGGAATAATCGAGCTTGAGCAGAATTTGATGTGTTGTTGTTCCCCTGAATTGCTAAGAAAGCAAAGCACCAGAAAGGCAGTAAATCTGGTGTTTAAAAAAAGAAAACATATGGGATGTGAATATGTAGGAAGTTCAGGCCAAGAACTGGGTCATTTGACAAGGGACAACACAGGTAGCAACCTCAATCTCTTCCCCATAGGTCCACATAGTAAAACCAGCTTGCACAAGCAGTTATTGCCCCATGAAGTGCTCCTGGCTGCATATGTCTGATGATGAAATATGAAACCCAACCTGGTTCTTCGGAAACATCTCCTTCTCCCCTTCATTTTTTATATTCCATTACTCTTATACCAGAAATGGATTGAATGGAGAAGACAAACCCTGCAAAGGATGCAACTAACTGCACAGGTGCCCAGTATCTGTGGGCACAAGAGAAAGGAAAATCAGTGCCACAGATAGCTGACCATGCTCCTCCATCCTTCACTCCTCAGGACTACAGAAGTTAACCCAGCCCAATCAAACCATTCCTGCAGTAGCTGCTTTTCTAAGACAAGCAGGCAGCACTCATATGGCTCACGTACGTATGTGTGCGCGCGAGAGACAAAACCTAAGCTAATCCTGTGGATCTTGGATCAGCTTTTTCTCCAAGGATGCAGATTCCAAGGTTTCTGTTTGGACTGGGATGAGGGGCACCATATGTCTGACATGTAAACACACTCCAATACCAACACAAGCCGTCTTTTTTGGCAGGCGGTACAGCTAGTGGGGATTGTGTATCTCGATTTGTAGACAGGAAAAAAAAAGAAAAGAAGAAGAAATTGACATTACAAAACCTATTTAAATCGGCAACATTGAATCTGTGGGCCTGGAAGAAAGCCTGGCTGGGATGTATGAATGAAGAGGCTCTGCCGCCGCGAAGTGATTTTTGCGTGGTTTGAGCCAACATGGTTTAGCATTCATTGCTGGCACCATTCAGGGCCAAATTACTTCTTTAAAGGCTTGAATTAACATGGCTGTAACGGCACTACTTTGATTTAGACCAGTAGTGCATCTAGCCCAATGTGTTAAGCAATTAAAATAAATGTCAGGGACACTGATGAAGGCAATAATAGTCAATAATTTAGAATCCAGGAGCCCCAAATGAGGACCTTGCTCCTCCTTCCTGAGAGGTTTAGCCTTCAGCTCTTCATTTCATCTCTGCTATGCTGATTTGCTCCTAGTCATTCAGGGCAAGCCCCACCAATGCCCAGATGTCTTGTGATGTAGGAGCATGCAACACTTCCAGTTAAATGCCTTAGGCTCATGGAGAGATATGGGGCCCTGAGAATGGAATGTGCAGAGCCCACCACGCTGAAGGTCATGTTGGAGCTGAGTAAGGGAGCGGGTGGGAAATCTTGAGAAGAAGGGGTATGACCGCCTCAGGGAACATCTGTCTTCTATGGAGATCTCTCCTGGGGTTAGGGGCTAGGCTCACAAATGGAATGAGGCACCTACATCTCTGCAGGCCCCTAAACAGAGATCCTTACAATATCTGCCTTAAATCGAGCCTGCCTAAGATCCCTGCCGCCTCCATTTTTGTCAGCCGAGTTACCAGGTTCTGCTCACGTAGAATCACAGAAAATGCAGGTGTGAAGGGACCTCAGGAGCTCACATCTAGTCCAACCCCCTGCTCAAAGCAGGACCAGCCCCAACTACATCATCCCAGCCAGGGCTTTGTCAAGCCAGGTCTTCCAAACCTCTAAGGATGGAGAGTCTGCCACCTCTCTGGATGACTTGTTCCGGTGTTTCACCACCCTCCTAGTGAGAAAGTTTTTCCTAATATCTAGCCTAAACTCCCCTTGCTGAACTTGAGACAGCTGGTCCTTGTTCTGTCACCTGATATGTCCTCAATAGGTGCGTCTACATGTTCATGACTGTGCAGAAGTTACTGCGCATTTAGTTTAGTACTTGCTTAATAAAGTACTAACTAAATGCACAGTAATGTGCAGTATTGCACAGTAGTGCCGGTGCACCGTTTTTGGGTGACAGTCACTGTGCAGTAGCTTAATAACACTGAGCAGTAGTGTTTGACCAGCACGCTACTGTGCAGCATTATTAGGCTACTGCACAGTAAGTGTCTTGTGTAGATGTGCCCACAGTGTACCAGAACCTAGTGGGGAGGGGGTGCCATGGGTCAATACCATGATATACTGCATATGGTGCTTTCAATATTCGGCTTGGAAAGGAATATGGGAAAGGCTCTCCCACGGCAGAGGAGGATAGGACATAGGGAAGAAAGGTGCCTACTTTCCCGGTCCTGGTTTGGACCACATCTAAGCAGGGCACAGGGCAGCAGAGGGCCAGGAGGAGAGGAGATAAAGGTCAGCTTCTGTTAAAGGACCAGCTCCATAGCTGAGTCAGGTAGTATAGCACAAAGTGGGGCATAAAGGAGGTGACTTGCAGGACACTGCTGCAAAAGTTGGATGCACAGCTTGGCCAAACTCAGAACAGCCTGCTCTAACTTACAATGCATTCAGCCTTTAGTTTGATTTCCAAGACACACTGGTGCCTGCCCTGCCCTCAACTGAGATAAGTGTTTTCCTTCTACTCACATCTTTATCTTGGGTCATTCTGTGCATGAAGAAATGACCCAATAAAATATTTCCCACAGGACCAAAAAGAAATGTTTTAGATCATAAACTAAACTTGGCCCACCTAGAATTATTTTTAGTCCGCCCTGGTTTCTTTATCTCCTACCCCCTTGAGCATGTGCACACATGGCCATTTTTGCAGCTGACACTACTTTCATTTGACTTCTGCAAACTTACAAGGACAATATGGCTCATTTGATGGCAGTTAACCTTGATGAACTAATGCCTGGTGGAGAATATTCATCCAGACCAACTGCTCTCCATTATTAATACTAATGGGCAAGAAAAATGCCCCTTGAAAACTTAGGGACTTGGGGCAGCTGGAAAGATTACTGCTGAGAATAAAATAAACTATAAAGAGGCTGCTGCTTGCAGAGCTTGCTAAGTGGGAAGTTACTAATTAGCAACTACAAACCCATAGGAGAATATGGGATGAATCGAAACAGTGGCACAATTGGAGAGGAGGATGGGAAAAAAACCCAGCTGTACTGCAGCCACATAACTGCAGCTGTGCAGCTGTGCAGCACCTGGATGCTTCCCTGTGTGCAGCTGCTGCCACAAGTGCATGGTTGTGTTGTTCTGCCTTTGGATCCAAAGCCCAGTGAAGTCCATGAAAAGCCTTCGGTGACTTTAGAAGGCTAAGATGAGGTCTTAGGCGTGACATGTAAAAGCCCAATTCTGCAAGTGGTTACTCATAAAACCAGAGGTTTACAGATGTTCTTAGGTACCTACTCCTGGTCTAACCTCTCCTCAGCTGTTGCCTATCTCTAAGTTGCTTCCCCTTGCATTTGTTAGGTACCATCATTTGCCCAAAACCATCTGAGTCTGGACAGTGCTGCATACCTGGGGGTCCAATCTACTCTGTGGAGAATAACTGAGCAGGGGTTGTGGTGGAAGGGGAGTAACCTCTTGGATAAAGATTCAGCTGGAAGAAGGAAGACACAGTCCTCTGCCAACTTTATTGAGAAATGAATACGTGTTGGAGCAAAAAGGGTAACCTAGGCCTCCTCTCTCTCCTATGGGAGTGTCCAAACCACTAAGTAATAGGGCTATGCTCTTCTCCTAAGAAATGGGTGATACAAGGTCAAGGCCCCTGGATCTCATACTTCTCCAGGTGAATGCTAGATAACAGACAGGGCTGAGGAAATGCACATCACTACCAAAGGTGTTTTATGAGATAACGATGCCTCGAGTGCTGAATTCCAGCTGGGCGTCACAAATAGGCACCTGACAGGTGAGGCCTGCAATGGTCCCATTTCTTCAGCATTCCCTCTTGACCATATCATCTGGTTTCCTGCTCTGGGTGCTGGCTTTCCTAAATCCCCTTAGGTGCCCTTACCTCCATCCCCTTCTTAGGTGGCCTAACTTGAAGGTATGGATTTCAGCATGTCCTAAGGCACCACTTCTATGTCGTTTTGTGGATTGAACCCGCTGTGCTTCAAGTCCTCTGATGATCTGAGCATCAGTACCTTGCCCAAAGTCAAAGGAAGCTACTCTACGGAAGAAGCAGGGAACTCCAGTATCCCAATGCATTGCTTTCATCACTAGATCTTTCTTTTGATTTTGCCATCACTTAAGTTGCTGGCTGGGATGATCTAGTTAGGGCTGGTGCTGCTTTGAGCAGGGGGTTGGGCTAGATGTGACCTCCTGAGGTCCCTTCCAACCCTCATTTTCCATGGTAAAGGAGTCATTTACTCATGCAAGTCTGTGCGTTGAACTCAGTGGAACATCTTGCAACCCTAAGAATGGGCAGAGTTAGGTCCTTGGGCACCTCATTTTACCCAACCATGTTTGAAAACCATGAGTGGCATGTTTTATGTATGTATAAATAAGTATTTATGCATAAATAAAGCCTGGAACCTGCAGGATGCAGGATGAGGGCCGGAAGAAAGCTCAGGAGGTCACATCTAGTCCAACTCCTTGCTCAAAGCAGGAATAAATCTAAGTTTAAATCCATATTTGTTATTCCTGCATTATGATTTGCTTAGTGGTGTTCTACTTGGGATAGATTAAAGAGGCAAGAACAAGAAATAATAATAAAAAAAAACATAACGCGGCAGCAAAGGAAAGCAACAATACATTCTAGCTCTTTGACGCTGAATCTAAT